AACTTCGGATGATCATATCTTGGTCATACGAACTCTGAATCGACCCGTTCAAGTCTCCTAATGTTTGTTATAACCTAAAGAACCCTGTGCTTTCTTTTTATGTGTTGTTATTGCTTCTTTATAGGCTTGTAGCTTTGCTTGTGTGCTTCGCGTAGCTTTCGTCGTTCCGGAGGTTCCCGAAGCGTGGTTCGTGGTCGTCGCCGAAGGTTCGGAAAGCCGTTCTCTCTGAGCAAGGCAAGTCACATCATCCTTGAACATATTGAATCCCAGTTTGTAAAATTATGTTGATTTAAATTATTGCATTACCGCTTTATTTAAATTCCCGCGTTATCACTGTTTTATCTAGCCATGCCCAATTACCTTTGTTATGACCTTATTATTGTTATTGTTATTATTATTACCTTGTTCACCCTAGAATAAATAAAACCCTAACTAGTGGGTACTCTATTCATGGTTCCACTAGTATAAATTTAGGTAGATGCTTCGCTGTTTAATTAGGCAACATTAGGTGGTTTTATAATTTTAGACTTTGGGAATTCTCATATCATTTGGACACTATGGAATTGTTGGATTATGGTGGAATTGGACATACACCTCTCTTTCTCTTTCAAAACCCCTAAAACCTGTTTTCGGTGGGGTTTGGGTGCATGCCAGTTAGGGGAAGTAGCACCCCGGCCACTATAAGGACTAAAGCTCGGGCCTCTGTTGCAAAGCACTACCGTACTTCCACATGTCTAATGGGTAAGGCTTAGTTTGTGGCTCAGTCTAGTCATAAACAAAAGTACACGGATTGGAGATGGATGAAGTCGGGCGTCGATGGACATTCTCCAGGGCAAATGAAGGCTACACGAGCTGCGGCCCGGTAGTCGAGATGTCATACGGCGGAGGGTTGGTGCCCAATGCTAGGGGCTCAGTTCTGCCTGCCTGTCCCGGGTATCCCGGCCGTAGGTAGGATTGGGTCGGTACTCTTGTCTAAGGCTAGGATGGGTTGGAAACTATGTCACATCTTTACGACGGGTTCCAAGGCCATGGAATGCGGAGTAAAGATGTGTCTTGTGGGTAAAGATGTACACCTCTGATCAGAGTAAATCTATTCGAATAGCCGAGCCCTCGGATATGGGCAAGCCGAGCAATGTACCCAAGTCAGTGTTTTAATTCTTAAAATTTGCTCAACAACTAAAATATGGAATGGTTGGCCTGGGTTGGCTTGGGACGAGCTGGGACCCAGGGTCGGGTTGCCAGTTCGGTCCAAATCATCGTAGGCCTTGGGTTAAGGCAGGTTCGTGAGGGTTCACGGCCTTGTTTAATAACACTGTGTAGCTCTAGGATCGTCTTTACAAAATGGCTTTGGGCAACTAAGTGATTTTTAAATGCGGTTTACTGCAAAACTTAATCCCTATATTATTATTCCCTTGTACTTCCCTTGCATTAATCATGCACCTCCGGTGTGGCTTGCTGAGTACTGTGGTTGTACTCATTCTTGCTCTATCTTTCTCCCCCCTTCAGTAAGAGAAGCTTTGGAGAAGAAGTCTTAGGTGGAGTCTTGGCTTATACCCCAGTTGAGCGCCTGTGAAGATGGAGCCGTAGGCCGCTAGTCCGCTGCTGTTTATTTTTGCTTGTCAGGCCTGAAGTGCCTTTGTAATAATGTAAATATTATCGATATAATAAAGATGTGTCTTTTATATCATGTTTGTGTGGTGTACCCCGGCTTTTCCTGGGACGGGGATTAATACACTAGCGTTCGGGAAAAGGCAATTTTCCCGGTCGCGACACAGATCATCACCTTCGCTGAAATACTCCTCTTCTGATGATTGAATATTGCAAGAATGAGCATATGACATACTCAACAAGCTACACAGCAAGTATGCAAGTGCACAAGGATACCAAAGGATGGCATAATATAGGCTCATTTGCAAAAACAGCATTTAGCAAAGATTTAAGAGTAGTAAAACAATAGAGTAATTAATCATCAATATTAATCAACACTGAACAGCACACCCATGCCACTCAGGCCCAACCAAACCTGAACAACCAACCCCGGTCGTACAGATCAAACCTCCAAACCAGGAATTATCCATTCCAAACCAGGAGTCAAATTAATTATCACATTATTAACATTGATGAGTAGTGTGAAACTAATCACGAAAAACATTGCTCAACTCACCCATAACCGCGGGTACGGCTATTCGAATAGTTTTACTCTGATCAGAGGTGTACCACTGTACCCACAAGACACAACCCCACATCATGTCACCATGTGCCTCAATACCACCACGGTACCTCGGAAAGGAGTTGTGACAATACCCCTTGCACAACATAATCCATTACAGCGCACCTTTCCTGGATCATAATCACCCCCTTATAAACAAGGCATGGACTCCCCAGCGACCCCCGTGGACTTCTCGCCGCTTCTCAGTCTGGCGCACTATAATGAATCATGCTATACAAAAGATAAAGCCGTTGCCCACGCTGGCTTGTGGTTGGCACGATAAATGTTTCACAACAGTAGCTCGCGAACCGGTCCTTAATTGTCATGAGCACAACCATCAAAACCATATGCTCACAACCCACCTTAACCAGGTTTTAATTATCAATCAATTAACATCACACGATTAACCATCGTGAGCTACCATTTAATGTAACCATAATTAAAACAATAAAGTAACATAATTTATAATTAATCCCTTTAGTTAGCTAATGTTTCTAAACATGGCTAAGCAAACTTACATATAGCATTTAGCTGAACCAATCCAACATATAAGGTTCATGCTAATCAAATTATAACCCATAGGAAAATAAGATCATCTTCGGCCATTAATTAATTGGGAAAGGTTCACCACCCGATGACATTCGAAAATAATGCATAGTTGAAATTAAATAATAGCTTTAAACGGGTTCAACATGCTCAAAGGGTTGTTTGGGATCTGTGTGACTTGTCTTGGGCTTCCGCAAACTCTTCGGAACCTTCCTCAACGGAAACGCACTCCTCCGGAACGTCGGAAACTAAAGCAATTAAACAAAAAATCAACAAAACAGTACAAAAACAAGCATAAACAGTACATGTGAATATTTTTAACATGTAGATCTTGATTTTAGAAAAATTTAGCAACTTGAACCACCTGAAACGGATCTACGGTTATTTAGTTACGATTTTCTGAAGATTTAATCTATTAGAAAAAACGAAAAGGATAAGATGATGATGTCATGATGACGTCATCAATGGTGGCCGGCTCGGATGGCAACCTCGCCGGAGCTAGGGTGGTCGGCCGGGATTTTGGAGGACACCTACGCGTAGAGGACGTCGGCGCGAACCCGATGGTACTCACCAATGCGTCCAACAACGAGGGACGGCGGCCGGCGACAACGCAAGAGGCGGCGGCGGCTCGGTTGAACGGCGGTGATGGCGCTACGACGGCCGGCGACGGCGGAGAGGGGGCGGCCGAGCTTCCTCGCTCCCGTGCGCACCTAACGGCGGCAACGAGAGGCGGCAACGACGGCGGACGCGGCGGTGCGGCGTGGCCGGAGGATGGCCGGCGGCGGCGGCGGGTTGGGTGGTGTGGCGGCGGCGCTACAAGGCACGGGAAAGCACGGGAGATGGGGCAAACGAAAGAGAAGGACTAGGGGGTCCTATATAAAGCCTTGGATTGAAGAGATCGGACTCCTCCCGCAAGAAATCGATCCGAGAAAAACAAAACTCGGTTTTGGAGATAAACTCGAAAACGAGTTCGATTCGGGCAAGATACTCAACGATTTGCTTCGATTTTTGGGGGTAAAGATAGAGGAGGATGAGAGGATAAAAACCCCCCTAACAATCGGACTCGGGGCGGCTGGATTGGGGCGGATTTGAGGGCGCAAGGCGGCGGCTCGGGCTTGGCATGGCCGGCCGGCCGGAGGTAGGAGAAGGGCCCGACATGTGGGCCCCACATGTCGGTGTCCCACGTGAGGGAGGGCGGGCGGTGTCGGCTGGGCCGAATGGGCCGGCTCGGCCGCTCGGGCGGGGAGGGGGCATGTTGGGCCAAACTCAGCCCAACGGCTTAAAGGAGGAGTTTTGGAACTTTTTAATTAAAAAAAATTTGTGAAATGTTGTTTCATTTATTAAAAATACTTCCCTTGCTCAAATAATTCCCAGAAAAATCTAGAAAATAGAGGAGCAAGTGTAGTATTTAATAAAATTTTATCTAGCTCATTTTTATGTTGAAAATTTTCCTAGATTATTAGGGTTTAGCTTGTAGGCTTTTAATTTAAATTTCTAAAAATTCCAATTAAACAACAATTTATATAATTAGGATTTTTAGGGCGTGACACCTACTGCATGGTAGAAGTAGGCTTACATGGGTGGGGTCCATGTGTGCAGGTGATAGCTGGTGAACCAGTCATGCATGCATGATCGTGAGGCCTATGCAGCAGTCAAATCAGTCATATGGATATGTACACTAGTACATGTATATATAACTATACATTGATACGTATCATCACTATCATCCCTTTTAACTAGACATATATCATCATAAGTGCCTACAAGTATCATCGCCCGAGCATAGAAGGTATCACCACCAACAACTACATTACGAAGTGCGCTGACGCGAGCTTTCTCAAACGTGTGGTCCAGGTGCCGCGCTACCGTCGTCTTGCCTCCATGCTCCACCACGCGGCTGCCTTATCCTCTCTCTTCTCCTCCTCGTCCAGGCTACCAGGTATCACGGGTACCAGATACCAAGTACCTGGTACCCGTGATATTAGCTTTGCTCCGGTACCTATGGTACCTACCTATGGGTACCAGATATAATATTGACAATTCGTCTAATATGATCCAACTAAATTAAATGAGCAATCATTAGTTGGCCCAATTAGCCAACTAATAATTGTGCATGGTTGGCTTAAAAATCTAAATTATTTAATAATAAAAATAACGGAACAACTATTTTACCATAAGCAAACTCATTATACAAGAGTAATTAATTTTAGTGCAGACTACAGCCAGGGAACACTGTCCCATACTGACGCATATGCATAGCTTCTACTCCGTAGCTAGCTAGCGATTGACACATAGCACAACTCCATACCAGCCGGCAGGCAAGCTACTAGACCCTATAGTGTGTCTAGGGGGCACGTCCTGTCGAGTGGATACACACGCATCTCGTCTAGGGGAGAGGTAATGGATATACCGTTGAACGGTATACCGTTCTCTAGCAGCCCTCATTGTCCATCCCACCGACAGACGCACGATCCGGCAATGGCCTGGCTGCCTCGATCGACTAACGCGAGGCGGCCGGCAACCTGCCAGGCTGCTAGGCGCGACGGTGCTGGCTGGGCGACGATCTCCGGCGGGCAACCAAAGCAGCCGACAAGGCGACCAGCTAGGCGCGACGGCACCAGGCGGGGGCGGCGGGCGAGGATCTTCGGTGGAGACGAGCAGCCGACATACGTGGCGAGGGCGAGCCGGCGAATCCCCTCCAGGCCATTCCTCAAACAGGTCCCGATCCGATCACCCTTTTGCCTCATCTCTTCCTCCGTGCCCCCTCTCCTCTTGGCAAGGTAACTGATGTTTACACTCTTAGTCTTACAGAAAGAACAGAGTGATGGTTATACTGAAATCGACTGCTCTGCTTAGGGATTTGGAATCTTGGGAGTGCTCTTGGGTTGCTAGTTTACTACTAGGTCAATCGCAATGCTGAGTTAGTAGAAAGCTCCAGTACAGCATAGTTTTGGTCTCAATAGGGCCATGTACATGACTTTAGTGGCCCTGTACTAAACTAGAGTCAGATGTCATGGCATGCACGGTTGACATGGGCGCATGATTTGTATATTTCATGGATGTTCAGTTGAGTTCACATTAATTGATAGCAAATAATTTCCAGGTATAAAAAATAACCCAAAGATTTTACCAAAAAATTTGATGCCAAAAGCGGGACGCACTAGAACTTGGCATAGGAACTGCAATCACCTTAAACACCTATATCTAACCAATTATTATGCATTAATTGGTCACTCTTAAGAGATGATATTTGGACAAATCATCAGTAGAAAAGCAGACAAACAGTACTAATGAGGTAAAATTACAAATAACGTTTGCTCATCTCGAACGAAAATCATGTTTCTTTCTAAAGCCATATGCACATTCCAGTTTTTTACCCCGTGCTAACAAGTAACACGGGTGGGCGGCTCGGGAGGCGAAACCCTAGCCGCCCGCGCCGCCGCATCCCGGCCCTCTCCTCCACCTCGCCACCGCCGGAGCTTGCCGGCGTGCCGCCGGCGAGCTGGGAAGGCGGCGGCGAGGCCAGTTGAGCTCGGCGGCGTCCTCCTTGGCGCGAGGAGGTTGGGGCAAAGCCGACAGCGTCAACCTCAGCGGTTGGAGGCGAAGATGGCAGGGCATCGTGTGGAGGCGGTAGATCCGGCCCTCCCACCCCCGAATCTGGTCGGTGCGGCGACGGCGCGAGCTCGAGCGACGGCGTGGCGACCGTGGCAGGGCCACTGCGGCGGCGCGGTGGCCCGTGGTGGCAACGCGGTGGCTGGGCGTCGGTCTGGCTCCGGCGTGGCGGCGGCTCGGGCTGTCAGCGCGCCGGCTACGTCGGTGACGCGGCAGCCGGAGTGTCGCTTGCGCCCATGTGGTGGCTGGTGGCGCGGCGGCCAGTGGTGGTGGCGCGCCGGCTGTGTCGGTGGCACGATGTCGACGCATCGGCCGGAGTAGAGCCTGCGTCGGCGCGGTGGCCGAAGTGCAGCACGGAGGTCGGTGCGGAGGTGCGGCAGCGGCGGCTCGGCGACGGCCGCTCGGCTTGGCCGCCTAGTGGCCGGCAGCCCAAGACGCGGCGACCGTGGGGGGGCTCCGAAGCCGGAGCGGCAGCATTTCCGGCATCGGCGTAGGCTCAGATGGTAGTGCAAAGGGAGCTGGCGGCTGTGGGTCGTCTTCTTCGTTGCTGGTCGGCACCCTCGCCCTTTCTGGAGCTCCCCCCTTCTTTGCAGGGAGTTTCTAGGTTGGATTGAGACGGCAGGTTGTCACTTGTCAGCGGGGGAAGCTCAGGATGCCGAAGCAATGCCACCCAGTCCCAGGTTCTCCTTCAGCCAGATCTGGCGAGGAGGCCGGCGGGTGGTGGCATGGAGGGGTCCTAGGCCAGCTCTCAGGGATGGTGGTTCGATGAAGTCGGCCGACGGTGGGGCGTCGGTGCGGTGTGGTGGCAGTCTTGTCGTTGGCAGGACTGGAAGCTAATCGCGGAGGGGCATCGGTCGGGTGTGGTGGAAGCCATGTGCCGCCGATGTTTAGATGGTGGATTCGGATTGGGCGATGGACCACGGCGGTAAGGGGTTTCGAGCGAAAGCTTAGCCTAATTTCTTTGGGCCAACGGTGACTACGCCTTCAGGCATGGTAACCATCCTGAGGGCATTGTTGAGATACCCCTCCTCCCTCGGCAAGGAACTCTGGGTGAAAACCTTGTCCAGTTTTTGGACGGATGACGACGGCGTCTTTCGGCGTCGCGACCCTTGTGAGGGCGTCGTTTTAGAGTCTTCGTGTCATAATGGTGTTGTTGGCCCGGTGGCGATCGGTCTCGCATAGCGATGGCCGGTTCGGTGCTTGGCTTCCCTCTCTGTAGCGTGTGTTTGGACGGTTGGCACATGGTTCGGGGCGTGTGCTCTAGTGCACATCCTTCCTCGACAGCCAGCTGTCGATGTAAAACTTTTCTTGTAATATTTTCTTCCTATCTTAATTGCATTGAATGACCTCCTTCGGTCATTCCGGCAAAAAAAAAAAAACAAGTAACAATATGAATGGTATTCTGATTCTAATGCCACCATTTTTTTTCTCTGTTCCTTATGTCATCGCCACAACATGCGTAAATTATAAATTCATAGCATTTCAACTGCAATAACAGTTCAATAATTCACTGCAACTGTCAATGGGAATTCATCTCTTACAATTTATTTATTTGTCGCTGCTGATGCCTTGCAGCCACTAATGTCCAATCAATTGTTTTGCTCTGTCCACGAGAGCAGAGAGAGGTGTGTTGCATTCCATGAAGCCTGTATCACCCAAGAAAATCATGTAGTTCTCAACCCTTGAGGGCGTCTCTTCTACCATCAGCAGTGCATTCATCATCTGAAATTCATTGAAACAATTGGCATAGCAAGAACTGCTCTCCATCATATATATGGTTTGCTCAAGTATCATCCTCCGGATCCCAGGGTAATCAACACTTGGTTTCATATTCGCATTCAGTGCATCCACTAGCTTCTTCACGAATCTTCGCTTAATCTGTCCGTGCTCTAGCTCTTGCACAAATTCTTCAGGTTTGACTTTGCATATCTGTGAACTAAGACCAATGAGGATTTCTAATTCTGCCCCTTCAACATCCGTTATTGTTTCCAAGACCTGTGTAGTGGAACCAGCAATGTCATGTAGCATGATGAACATAGTTGTAAACTATAATTATACTTATACAATTTAGTGGTAAATAAATGTCCATTTTGATTATAAAATAATTATGTCTTGACAAACATTAATAGACAACAAATGTACAAATGATACAACATACTATACATATCTAATATTACACTTGAAGTATGGATTAGCAGGGCTCACCTTTTGAAAGGCATCAGATAGGTCATTTTGGTTTGATTCTGTGAGGTCGGGTTGAGCTTGAGCATGCAGGTACAGATTACGCAACAGGCTCGCAGCCACATATATACATTTCCCATCATGGATTAGGATCATATTTTTTAGTTTATTAATGAATTCTGGTTCCTTCAACATAACCAAGCAGTTATGCACATTTTCTGATGCCAGCATTGCCAATGCTTGCCCAGCAACCTTCGGAAGCAAGCAATCACCATCTGTACTAGATGGTCCATCAGAATTGAGGGACGCCTTCATCAGCCTGGTAATGAGCACCTGCATTTGCCCAATCTCCTGCCTTGTGTCTCGGTCAATGGCAAGGTTTCTGAGGATTCCTGCGACGAGCTTCCTTAATTCTTGCATGCTAGTGTTGTCTCCCAAGATCTCCGCAAGGTTTCCCAACAGGAAGGGATGTTTTGATATCTTGTACCGCAATGCTATGCCAATTTCCCCTTCAATGCTTGTGAGCCTCTACAGCACCCTCAGTGATGACTTTACGAGAACCTTCTGTTGTGCTACGGAATTCACCATTGCACTTCTGAAGCTTGTGAATCCTATGATTTTGGGGATCAGGTCAGTTACTTTGTCTATTTCCACACAGTTATTTTGATCACAACTAGCAAGACTGTAGACAATTGACATGCCCAATGCTGGGAGAAGATCGTCCTTTGTCAGCGGCTGCTCCTTGGGAATTGACCAATACTCTGATATCCTCTGCCAACTTCTGAGTATGGATACTTGGTCGTTGCTGTGTGCTGATTGGGTTGGCGTTTCCAGCTAGTTGTCAGTGTCCGCAACTAATTCTTGTCTTTGCTCTTGATCACCAGCTGCATCTAGTCTTTCTTCTGTTGGATCAACAAAAGGATCTTGATCATCATCTGCATTTAGAAGTGGGTGTCCTCTTTTTGGTCTTCCCTCGGTATCCAGAAGCGTTGATACAAGCTGCATTGCCTCAGGGACAGTTACAATTCGGAGGCTCTTTGCGAACTCGGCCATGACCTTCGCAGCATATAATCTAATAGTTGTATGTTGGTTTCCATTAGTCCAGTCCAACATGTTGATCAACCTGGCCTTCGTCTGCATTGAAGTGGTGAGTTTCTCCAGGAGTTGTGCTCTTGTCGGATCTCTTTGCAGAAAAGTGTGCATCATCTGGATCCCGTACAGTTGATTCTTGGACAAGTCAGAGTTTATAGAATCTATCGCAAAGTTGCTGAGGTTGATCCTCTTTGGAGCAAACACACCTCCTTCCATGTATTTGTCGAAGGCATATTCGTAGTACAGATTGATAGATTCAACTCCCCACTGACCTGTAAATCCAGCACGGCAAACGAGGGATCTCAGTGGGATGAACGAGAAGACCTCCAGCGTGCCGGCAACGATGTAAAGTATGCCTTGGCCAAGCACCATGCTGTAGAGGATGGTAAGAGATTGGCCAAGATTTGTCTTCTCACCAACACCGATGTAGTCATGTCGCGTAAGGCGCATCCTCGCGAGCTCTTCGCGCACGATAGCTGCAGGAATCTGCAAGTTGCCAGATGACAGTATGGCAAAACCACATAAATCGAGCAAGATCATCACGTGTTGAACAGTTGAAGGACTGGATCAACCATGAAAAGCATCATCACTATCGCAGCAAGCATGCACGAGTTAAGAATAAACCGACGGTTGCCAAAAAAAAAAAAAAAAAAAAAAAAAGAATAAACCGACGCCAAAATACGTGTTTACTGCCCAAAGCAGGACGCACTTGGTTGACAATAATTGAGAACCGCAGCCTGCTGACCGTCACCAAGAGCACAACCGCAAGGAGCACTATGTACACTATCCACATGACAAAACTGTCTCCGTACATATGGAATATGGAGGAACCCATCAATAGGATTGCAACCACGGGGCTCCATAGCGATATCACACGGAGCAGCAGACTACAGGTGCGTGGTCTTCGAGCTCCTCGAGATACTAATGGGCCAACCGTAAGTAGTATTACTACTAATACCATGATTATAATCAACATAAATGCCCCGTCCTGCACCTCCCGAACAACAATGGCCACCTTAGCAGCAGAAAAGTATACGATCGCGATCAGTCCGTTCCCGCCAAGTGATCTGAAACTGAAAGCACCTCTTGTCCGGAAGAACAATTGGTAATCAAATCTATTGTTGCGACCGAACATCCTGTGTAATCAAAGAAAAGTGAAAACTTAGACTGCAGAACAAAAAATCAAAAACAGGTGTAGATGGGCAGTACATAAGTAGCTGTATATACCTTGCGGCTTCTAGGAATACGATGGCTGTCGCGAACCAAAAATCGCCATGCGAGTCGAGCACCACAGGGTAGCCACCTAGCAGGACAACGGTAGCCCAAGTGAAAGCCAGCGTGCCGAGTGCATTGCTCGTCCTCTCCATCAGTGTCACCACGCGAACGAAGCAATTCACCCATTTTTCCGGCGCCGCGACCTTGTCTTGCCGGTCGGAGCTGGCTCTGGCTGCTATCTGGACTCGATGCTCTTCGCCGGCGATGTCCCCCATTTCCGGACCACGCGCTTCAACAAGAGACCTTGGGCACCGCCGGTGATGCAACTCAATCTGTGTTCCAAAATTTTAAACAATGGTGGGCACTGGGAAGTCCAAAGAAAAAGAAAAACCTGGGCGGTGCTCCATTGCCGGCCTGACAAAAAATTCAAAGCTGCAACATTGACTCTACGAAGCTGGTCAATTCAGCTACAATCGACACGAGTGCGAAGTTTCTAATTAATAATTGGCTTATTGGCACATTAGTGAGATCAATTGGGTAGATGTGGGTGACATGACCTCATCTCCCCTGTTATTTTTATCAGGTGCAGATGTGGTTTCACCTTCTTTCTCATTCCCCTTATTGTTGTTTTTGGCCAGGTTGTCACCGGCGCATCGCGACTCACATGTGTCATAGTCAATCAGGCAATGTCTCCGAAAAGACAGGAATTCTTGGCCCTGTTTACATCCCCCGGCAAAATTTTTTACCCTGTCATATCGAATGTTTGGACATATGCATGGAGTATTAAATATAAACGAAAAAATAACTAATTATACAGATTGCGTGTGAATTGAGAGACGAATCTTTTAAACCTAATTGCTCCATGATTTGATAATATGGTGTTACAGTAAACATTTGCTAATGACGGATTAATTAGGCTTAATAAATTCGTCTCGCAGTTTATAGACGGAATCTATAATTTGTTTTATTATTAATCTACGTTTAATACTTCAAATATATATCCGTATATCCGATGTGACATGCCAAAACTTTTCACCCCTGAATCTAAACACAGCTTGTCTGTCGGAGGCATCCGAACTCGGGATGGAATGCTTGGAGGTAGGACGTGAGGTGAACGTGCGTTCATCGCGACACACGGGTTTGGCAGTTGGGCCGGGAAACTCAGCAACACGAGGAGCGCGACATGGACCTGACGTGATGTCGGCCCTGTGGGAGGCCTGACGTAGGGCTGTCAAAAAAAGCACGAGGCTCGCGAGTTGCTCGAGCTCGGCTCGTCTCAGACTCGATTCGAGCTCAGCTCGAGATCTTAACGAGCCGAACCCGAGCCTAGCTGCAAGCTCGCGAGCTTTGTCGAGCCGAGCTCGAGCTTCTCACGAGCCTAACTGTGTGTGAAATATTTATCTTTTTATATGATAAGTTAGTAGCTCGAGGATAAATTAGTATATATTCGTGTGAAAATTGTATTTTGGCATCATATATTAATCTTAGATTCTCATTTTTTTTCCTTCAATATTGTTAATTAAAATTATTTTTTTTTGCAAAATTTTGCCATCAAAATATACATTGTCTTATACTTGATCGAGCTCGCGAGCCTAACCGAGCTCGAGCTGAGCCTGCTTAAAAGCTCGAAGGAGGACTAGGCTCGATTCGAGCTTGGCTCGAGCCTGTGTCACACAAGCTCGAGCCTAGGCAAGCAAGCTCGCTCGAGCTCGGCTCGTTGACAGCCCTAGCCCGACCGATGGGTGCCAACTGGCAAGGTCACAGCCTGATGCATGAGGAAGCCAGCAGCAAAAACCTGCGGGGTCAAAGCTATAAATTTTTTTAAGTTTTCTATTGTTACAACACAAATATCAATTTTTTTTATCTATTTTGCAAAAACCTATGGGGTTAGCTGACTATACAGATTACATGTAGCTTCGTCACTGGTCAGAGGGCGAATGTCGTGGACTCGGAGTGTTTGGCTTGGCACGTGCCGGAGCGGCCGGGAGCCGGTAACATCCGAAGGCTATGCGAAACAGCTGATCCGGCTGTTTGGCGGAGAGTAGCTCGAGCCAGCGAAGGAAACTCTTAACTACCTCCTCGGCTCCTCCACACCAACTACCACCTCTATCTCAAAATATTGCTATCTAAGATAGAATTTTTAGGTAACAACATGATTTGTTTATCGCTAAGCTTTTAATATTTTGGATAGCAATACCTAAGAACAGAAGATACTAGGTAGTAGTAATATTTTGAGACAGAGAAAGTACATATTTCTGTTTCTGTTCAGAAATAAACCAACCGCCCCAATTACATATCAGCCCATCTACTTCCCGAGATCTCCTAACTTCACTTCGCACGATCCGAGAAAACTGAGGGGTGCCCTCGACTAGTCAACTCGACCGAGTAATCGCGAGGTGACCGGCGATGGCGGCGAGGCGATCAGCTAAGCGCTAGGGTGCCGGCTTGACGGCAGGCGAGGCTCTACGACCGGACCAAGAGCAACCGACGAGGCGAGGGAGAATCCCATCCAGGCCATTCCTCTACGGGTGCTCTCTCCCCCCTTATCCCCCTCCGAATCCTTCTTGGATCCTCTTTGCTTGGCAAGGAAACCCTTGTTTTCGTTGCTTTGCTAACTCGATCTAGGGATGCAAGTGGGTAGTCCCGCTACCCACATAAAAATCCGCTTGCTAGTGTATTTCTTGCATGGTAGTTCAAAATTTAGAAGAATAAATGAACTAGAAGTGGGATAAGCGGGCAAAAAAAGCCCGCTTGCCCACCCTGCTTGCATCCCTCCCGATCCAGTTCTAGTCCTAGTCATGGTTGTAGTCGCACTAAAAAAAGGGAGAGAATCATGGTTATTCTGGAATCGACTATTCTGCTTAGGGAATCGATTACTAGTTTATTACTGGTTAATTGCAAGGTGAGTTGCAGAAACCCAATGCACCGCAGCTTTGGTCTCGACACGAGGGGCGTGAATTTGAGAACCCTGTGCTCAACAAAATTTCAGGCACCATGGGCCATGGCACGCATAATGCATTGACATGGGCGCATGACTTATATTATATAACAGTTGAGCACCCATTAATTAGGAGTAAAGTTTTTGCTCGGTGGACAAAACGAGAGATAGAAACACTGAACCCATAAGTTGCGCATTGTCATGGTCTGAATTTCTTAGCCATAGTAGGTGAGTTCTGGGCTGCTACATGTTAGATAGATCTCCCTCCCCTTGAGCCCAACGGCTCAAGGAGGCCTTGACCCACGCCCTGATCGGGGGCGCCCAGCCCAATGGCTGGTGGGCCCCCATCACCCTGCGCCATATAAAGAGGGGTGGAGGCAGAGCGGCACAAGACACGAAGTTTGTCACCGCCGCCAACTCCACCCCACAAACCCTAATCAGATCGAGAGGGGGCGCAGCCAGTGATGGGAACGCCCCACCGCCGCGCCACGCCTCATCGTCGACCACGACTCCCACTGCTACGACCACCGTCGCCGTCAAGCACACCATCGCCGCCGTCCACGTCAAGCCCGCGACGACAACGACGATGGCCGGCCGCACTTCCTCCTCCTCAACATCGACCGGTCACATCCCTAAACCCTCTCACTCCCTCTTTGTTAATCCATCTATTGTTGTTCGTCTATCCAAAGTGTTCTACCCGACTAGATCTAACCTAGGTGATCCCAAAGCAATGCTAACAAATGGTATCAGAGCAACCCTAGCGTTTGGATCTTGTTTTCGGGGATGGAAATCCAAAGAGAAAAGCAAAAGAAAGAAAAGCAAACGATCCAACGGATTGAAAAGAGAAACCCTAACCCTAATCTTACCTCGTCGCCGGCCGTCGTTGACGCCGACAACGGAGGGGGGAGGGGCAAAGAGGCACCGCCAAGGAGCCCCTCGACGGCTGCGCGCGCACCCGCGGGTGCACGCGCGCGCCGGCGAGGGGGCCCGCGGCGGCGCCGCCATCTCCTTCGTCGCCGCTACTCTCTCTCACTCGGTGGGGCTGGTGGCGCGATGGGGGAGAAGAGAAAAGAGGCGTCGACGACACCGCTCGGCGCGGCCGAGCCCGCCCGAGAGAGAAAGCGAAGAGAAAAGGAGGGGGCGCCGCGGCACAGCCGCTCGACGGTAGCGCACTCACCCTTGAGTGAGTGCGCGCACCGGCGAGGGGGAGTGCGACGGCGCTGCCGTGTCGCCGTTCCGCCGCCGCGCGGTAAGCCGCCGCCGGGGCCGTGCCGCCGCCGGCGCTGTGCTAGGGTTTCGGCGGTCGCATGAGAGAGAAGAGAAGAAGCTAGGGTTTTTGGCGCAGGCGACTGGGGGTCAGGTTTTGTTTTGCCCGATCTCTCCGCGCGGTCGTCCGATCGAAACCCTAGCGATCGGACGGCCGGCGGCGGCCGGGCCGAAAATAGCCCAAGAGGGCGCGCGCGGGGGGCGGCTTTCCTGGCCCAGGCCTAGGTTGCGGCCTGGGGGAGGGGGCATGGCCGCAAGCGCCTAAAGGCGACCGTGGGCCGACCGGCAAAGGCCAAAAAAGTCCATATTAGGTCCCTCGGCGAAGGAAAAGAAGTTTAATAAATGTCCCTATTCAGAATCATTTTCAATATGTTTAATGATTGTTTTTATTTCTAAGCAATTTGTAAATTGTGAAAATTGTTTAGAGAATAGATAAATGTGAGAAATGCTTCTGAACATGTATTTTGTATGTTTTCATGCAAATTACAATAGAATTTTGAATTGTTTTTACATGTTTTTCCTCTGTTTAAATTTGAACCAACAGGAGAATTTTTACAGAGAGTAAATAACATAGTTTTGTTACTGTTCTTATGGATTTTAATATAGATCTTCCGCTGCAAATAGATGATATTGATGAAAATTAGTGTTTCTAAAATTAAATTTCGAACCAACGGGAGAATTTAATTTTAGGAACATTAATTATGTGCTATGATGTTGTAATTTTCTGACCCACGTTGATGATTGCAATGTTATAGTTATGGCTTTATGTGTTATGTCTATTTTCTGCCCAACGGTGATGTAGACTTAATACATAATATTTTTAATGTTAATTTTGTTCTCACAATACATGATTATCTCAGGTGACTACTCCTTGATGGGTTACATTAAAGATATTCCGACCCTGAAAGGAGATAACTACAAAGAATGGAAAAGAGAACTCGACCTTGCTTTTATCTTGGGAGAGGTGGACTGGGTGTTGACTACCCCATGTCCTATAGAACCTGCTGAACTTTTCAGAGGTGAAAAAGAGTCAGATGCTGAATGGCAAAAGAGAGAGAGGGAAAATGCTTCCCTCATCATGTCGTATGACATTGGGCATACGAAATGGACCTTAGCCAACAAGGAATGTTTGGCTGCGGTAAAGAACACGATTGAGCCAACCATATTGGGCTTAATCCCAGAGTATGACACCGTCTCTAAGTACCTCGAAAGTATAAAGAGCCAGTTTGCTGGTTCTTCAAAGTTTTATGCGACACAACTGATAAAGCAGCTTGTGACAGAAAGGTACCATAGAGGTGGTGTAAAAGACCACATTCTTAGGATGAGCAACATGGCTTCCAAGTTGAAGCAAAAAGATTTGGGCATCTCAGATGACTTTCTGGTTCATCTGGTTATGACCTCATTGCCAAAGCACTTTGTCAACCTTGTTGTCAACTACAAAATAAGTCCAGAGAAATGGAATATTGAAGAGCTCATCTCTAATTGTGTGCAAGAGGAGGAAAGAATCAAAGAGACCATTGGTGGCTCAATTAACCTTGTTAAAGATAACAAGGAAAAGAGCCACAGGTCACCCTCCTCAAAAGCAAAACAGCCTCAGCATCTGCCTCAGCAACAACAGTTCACAGTTGAGACAGGATCAGTGTCTCCACTGCAAGAAGACAAGACATTCCAAGAAAGATCGTCCTGACTTCGTGACAGTGATCATGGCAAAGAAAGGTGAGAACATTATTACATTTGTAAATGAATCTCATTATGATTGGTTATTCTAGATCCACATGGTGGATTGATTCTGGAGCAACTATTCATGTGTGTAATTGTTTAAAGGGATTCCGTTCGATGAGGACTATGCAAAGAAGCGAAAGATCCATTAGAGTTGCCAATGGAGTTGAAGCAAAAGTTGAAGCTGTTAGAGATCTTCGCCTAGAGCTCACGAATGGCTTCACACTTTTACTTCGAGATGTTTTTTATGTCCCTTCTTTGCAAAGAAATAAGTGTATCCAAATTGTATTTTGATGGATATGATTGTCATTTTGGAAATGGCAAATGTGAACTATGGTATAATAATGCATGTATTGGTCTTGCTGTGTTGCAAGATTAGCTTTATTTGTTATCTCTTTTTGAGAATGTGAATGTTGTGTCCTCGTTGACAAAAGAAAACAAGAAAAGAAAGCGAACTCCTGATGTCTCATCGAAATTATGGCACTGTCGTTTAGGCCATATTTCGAGGGGGAGAATTGAGAGACTGGTTAAGAATGTAATTCTTCCTCCATTGGAGTTCTCAGTTTTAGAACAATGCATACAATGCATAGAATGCATCAGCGCCCAAAACACCGTATGAGCTATGGATCCTCCGTGTGTGGGGGAGTCCTACAGAGGCCAAAGTATTTAACCCAAATCTTGGGAAATTGGATCCCAAAACAGTAAGCTGTCATTTTATTGGCTATTCTGAAAGATCAAAGGGTCATTGTTTCTACTGTCCAAACAGTTGTACAAAGTTTGTAGAAACGGGACATGCCGTCTTCTTGGAAGACGAAATGATTAGGGGGAGCTCGGTAGTTCGAGAAATTGATCTTGACGAGAGGCGGGTGTCTGAGCCCGCTCAGTCGATTCAAGAGCCTTCTCCTCTCTACCTGCTGATGTTGTGCTTGCAATGCATGACGTTGCGGTACCAACACCTATTGTTATCTCTCCTGTGGCAACAATGAAAGAAAGTGAGGAACCTGTTCTACAGGATTCAACAGAAATTATTGCCACACCAGAGGAGGAGCTACAATAGCCTCAAACAGATAATGTGCCAAAACAGGAGGCCCCTAGAAGGTCTGAAAGAGTCAGAAGATCGGCTATCCATGATGACTATGAAGTTTATAATATAGAAGAGTCGCATATGCAGAATGATCCCACCTCATATGAAGAGGCCATAAGAAGCGCCCGCTCATCTGAATGGTTGGAAGCCATGAAAGATGAAATTAAATCAATGAAATTAAATGTTGTCTGGGATTTAGAAAAAATTCCTAAAGGAGCCAAAACAGTAGGCTGTAAATGGGTCTACAAAACCAAATATGACTCTAGAGGGAATATAGAAAAGTTTAAAGCGTGACTTGTGGCAAAAGGCTTCACGCAAAAGAGAAGGGATTGATTACAATGAGACATTTTCTCCAGTCTCTTGTAAAGTTTCCTTCGGGATTATAATGGCACTGGTGGCACATTATGATTTAGAATTACATCAGATGGATGTAAAAACGACATTTCTAAATGGAGATTTGGAGGAAAAAGTATACATGGCACAACCAAAAGGTTTCGTCATGAAAGGAAATGAAAATATGGGATGCCGTCTAAAGAGATCCATTTATGGATTAGAATAAGCTTTGAGACAGTGGTACTTGAAGTTTGATGGGACAATAAAGAAATTTGGGTTTCAAGAGAATATCGAGGACAACTGTATTTATTCAAAGTTTAAGAATGGGAGATTCATTTTCCTAATTCTGTATGTGGATGACATTCTACTGGCTAGTAGTGATGTCAGTCTACTGCAGGAAACAAAGAAATTCTTGTCCTCAAACTTTGACATGAAAGATCTCGGTGAGGCTTCATATGTTTTGGGCATAGAGATTCACCGAGATAGAACAAAGTATGCATTAGGACTTTCTCAAAAGGCATATATAGAAAATGTGTTGAAGAAATTCAACATGTACAGATGCAGTGCTACACCTGCTCCTATAGTCAAAGGCGAAAAGTATGGGGCATCGCAATGTCCTAGAAATCAGTATGAGCTCAATGAAATGAAAAACAAAGCCATATGCGTCAGTTGTAGGAAGCCAACAGGATGCGCAAATGTACACACGACCTGACTTGGCATTTGTTACCGGGTTACTTGGCAGATTTCAGAGTAATCCAGGCCCAGAGCACTGGAAATTGGTATAGAAAGTCTTGCGTTATTTGCAAGGAACAAAAGGCCTCATGCTGTCTTACAGAAAATCAGAATCGCTCCAGATAGTGAGGTATTCTGATTCTGACTTTGCAAAAGATAATACAAAGTCAACATCGGGATATGTGTTCACCCTGGCAGGAGGAGCTATTTCATGGAAAAGCTCAAAACAGACTATCACTGCAGGGTCTACTATGTATGCCGAGTTTATAGCATGCTATGAGGCAACGGGGCAGGTGAACTGGCTAAAGAAATTCATACCCGGTTTTAAAGGTGGTTGACAGTATTGAGAAACCACTAAAGTTATACTGCGATAGCGAACCCACAGTAATGTACTCTCACAACAATCAGTCAAGTGGTGCTGCCAAACACATTGACATAAAGTACTATGTTGTGAAAGACAAAGTCCAGGATCAAACAATCAGTCTCGAGCACATTAGAACAGAAAGGATACTCGCGGATCCGCTCACGAAAGGCCTACCTCCCAACGTGTTCAAGGAACATGCAGCATGCATGGGTTTAAGGGAAGCCTTATGAATCCTGGACTATAGGGCCCAAAAGTTAAAGTATCTGTTTCTGAATAGAGATGTGTATAGTGGCTGTCGAATCCATCGGTGATTAACCGTGACGATGAAACATGCTCTATATGCAAATCTATGATGGAATAGAAAAAGGCTAAAAGAAATAGTGAGATCAAGGGGGAGAATGTTAGATAGATCTCCCTCCCCTTGAGCCCAACAGCTCAAGGAGGCCTTGACCCGCGCCCTGATCGGGGGCACCCAGCCCAATGGCTGGTGGGCCCCCGTCACCCTGCGCCATATAAAGAGGGGTGGAGGCGGAGCGGCACAAGACACGAAGTTCGTCGCCGCCGCCAACTCCACCCCCACAAACCCTAATCCGATCGAGAGGGGGCGCAGCCAGTGACGGGAACGCCCCACCGCCACGCCACGCCTCATCGTCGACCACGACTCCCACTGCTACGACCACCGTTGCCGTCAAGCACACCGTCGCTGCCGTTCGCATCAAGCCCGCGACGACAACGATGATGGCTGGCCGCACTTCCTCCTCAACATCGACCGGTCACATCCCTAAACCCTCTCACTCCCTCTTTGTTAATCCATCTATTGCTGTTCGTCTATCCAAAGTGTTCTACCCGACTAGATCTAACCTAGGTGATCCCAAAGCAATGCTAACACTACAGAGTACTATCTTGTGTTGAATGGGACTAATTACCAGGGCAGGAAACCCAATTTTCAGGAGTCGAATAAACAACATTTTTTTTGAAAATAATCGATGCCAAGACTAGAACACACTAATACATTGTGTAGGAATTGCAATCACCTTAAGCATCTTTAATCAATTAAGCATTGTCCACTCCAACAAATGATAATTGGCAGTAGCAAATACTCCTAGATTACAGTGCAGGACTAATGACTAATGAGGCACAGATACAAATAGCCTTTCTCATCTCGAAGGAAAATCTATGTTCTTTCTAGAAAGGTCATATGCACAATAACTTTTTTACCCTGTACTAACAATATACATGATGACATGATCGTTTGACTGAAATGCAAAATCATCTTACAACTTTCTTCAGTTGGCACTGTTGATGTCATGCAGCCACTGGCGACTGATCAGTTCTTTTGCTCTGTCCACGAGAGCAGAGAGAGCTGTCTTGCATTCCATGAAGCCCATGTCACCCAAGAAAAACATGTACTTCTCAGCCCTTGAGGGTGTCTCTTCGACCATCGACACTGAATCCATCATCCGGAATTCATTGAAACACTTGGCATTGCGAGAATTGCACTCCATCATGTATATGGATTGCTCAAGTATCACCCTCCTGATCCCAGGGCAATGAGCATTTTGTTTCATGTTTGCATTCAGTGCGTCCACTAGCCTCTTAATGAATCTCCGCTTAATCTGCCCGTGTTCTAGCTCTTGGGCAAATTCTTCAGGAATGAGTTTGCATATCTGTGAACTAAGGCCAATGAGGATTTCTAGTTCTGCCCCTTCAGCGTCTATTATTCTTTCCAACACCTGTAGTGGAACCAGCAATGTCATGTAGCATGATAAATATAGCTGTACAAACTATAGTTATACTTATATAGTTCATTGGTAAATAAATCCCCCCTTCTTTTTACCAAAAATGACAAAAATTAATAGACAGAGAATGCAAAAATGATATGGCATGCTATACACATCTATGTTGCACTCGTAGTTTGTATTAGCAGGGCTCACCTCTCGTAAGGTGTGAGATAGTTCCTTTAGGTCTGATTCTGTGAGCTCATGTTGAGCGTGCAAGCACATATTACGCAACAGACTTGCTGCAACATATATGTATTTATCATCATGGATTAGGATCATATTTTTTAGTTTATTAACGAAATCTAGTTCCTTCAACATAACGAAGCAGTTATGCGAATTTTCTGATGACAGCATTACCAGTGCTTGCCCAGCGACCTTTGGCAGCAAGCAATCAACATTTGAACTAAATGATCCGTTAGAATCGAGGAATGCCTTCATCAGCCTGGTAATGAGCATTTTCATTTGTCCAATCTCCTGCCTTGTGTCTTTGTCAATTGCAAGGTTTCTGAGGATTCCTGCCATGAGCCTCCTCAGTTCTTGGTTGTTGCTGCTGCTGTCTCCCAAGATCTCTGCAAGGTTTCTCAATAAGAAGGGATGTTTTGATATCTTGTACCGCAGTGTTATGCCAATTTCCCCTTCAATGCTTGTGAGTCTCTGAAGCACCTTTAGTGATG